CATACTTGTTTTTCAATTAATAAGATTCAACCTCAAAATATTATTTAATAAAAACCAATTTTTTTTACTTGACCCGATGATAGTTGATAAATTTGGTGAAATTTAAAAATAAGAGAATTATAGTACTCATTAAACGTACCAAAAAGGAAAATTCCCACTAAAACCCGCAAGCTATGGAAATAATTATACTAAACATCTACTACGTAACAATTTCTACATTAAAAAACAAACATTTAACAAATTACGATAGAATTAATAAAACCAGAAAAGCACATACAACCAAGCATCGATGGAAATTCACGAACATCATCTGTTTGCCGTGTCTGCAAAAATCCTGATCATCAATTCAAAATACAAGCAGACACTACATTTTTTAAGTTCTTCAACTTCGTCCATACTTACCTGATCTTCTTTCTTCTTCAACAGGGATTTTCAGAGGTACCATTAAAGAACTGAGGTTCGAGCTTAGCTCTGCAAACAGGGCAAACAGGGTGCTTAGAAAGCCAAGTATCAGCGCATTGCAGATGGAACCCATGGTTGCATCCGGGTACCATTCTCGCCGGTTGCTCGTCCTCAATCTCTTCAAGACACACCGCACACTCGGTCCCCATCACTAGTTCCTTTCCAGTGACCTTAGGCAGCTTCTCGAGCTCCGCTAGCGACAAACCTTTTTCCGTCGCCTGCTTCACCGTCCCCCCGGCATCGGTCTGATCGTAATTCGTAGCGAACCATAGTAAACAAATGTAAACAACAAAAACAGCGCTCATGCCTACGCAGGGTAAGAACAGGGCTAGAAAAACAGAGACCAGCATTTTTTGGTCGGCGGAGGCGGCGGCGGCGGCGGCGGCAGCGGCTGCCGAGCCGTTTAAGGCGGGTGTTGGAGAAGGGGGTAGAAGAAGAGGTGAAGGGGCGTACTGAGGTGCATGGCGCATAGTGGAAGAAAGAGTTTCTCTGGGGAATCGTGGAATGAATTATACTAGAATTTAGAGCCTTGGGGACCGGAGTGATTCAGAGGTAGGTAACGGCTATATTGGGAAGGAAAATCAGGGAATGGTGCGCTCTTTGGGGGAATCGATGACGCATTTCGTGACAAAAAAGAAAGTATTTGAGACGGCACTCATAATTGCAAAAGTTTTCTGCCATATATGGTTTGGTTTTGCTCTCTGTCAAGCACCAAAGTCCATTTAAGAAGAAGGAGACACGTTTCGTGCAAGTTTTGGCGTTTCGATGTGGAGAAGATTGGTGAACCTTTGGGCAAGAGAATTGAATTGCCAAGAAAAAGGTTTCCTGGAAAGGAGTGAAAAAAGGGTTTTTCTAGGGAAAAGTTTCACCGGAAAGGAGTGAGAAAAGGATCTTCCATGGAAAAGATTTGGTTCTGCAGTGTTTTAGGGTTAGATTGGTCCATTGGATTAAATACAAGGAAGTTGAGTGGGGAGTTTCTTTGGAGGAGTGTATGGACCCCATGAGTTTAATGGACTCCAGCAAACCTAATTCATGCTTAATAAAATAGATTATCAATTA